AAGAAGCAGTAGTAGTAAGTAGTAGTAGTAGCAAGAAGTAACATTTCCACAGATCTAAGCCAAATCGAACAGAAATCCTCAGAGCAATATACGGGGATGGACTTGTGTGGTAGACAGCTACAGGTGGTCAAGAGAAATGGTCAAGGACTCTCTGGACAGACCTTTCTCCCCTGGGATTCTCTCACCACCAACTGATTAAGTAAATTTCTGTGCCAGGTGGATCCTCTCTGCAGGCCTAGGCATGAACCGAAACCTTATTTTTCCCTTCCCCTGGTGAGGGCAAAGGAAGATGAATATTTCTGAAAAGAACTTTAACAACAACAACAAAAACTGAACTAAAAGAAGGCACAGGGCTTCCCTGATGGCTCAGTGGTCAGGCATCTGCCTGCCAATGCAGGAGACACGAGTTCGATCCCTGGTCCAGGAAGATCCCCCATGGTAAGGAGCAACTAAGCCCGTGCGCCACAATACTGAGCCTGTGTTCTAGAGACTGGAGCCTCCGCTGCTGGGCCCACGTGCCGCAGTTACTGAAGCCCGTGCACCCTGGAACCTGTGCTCTGCAACAAGAGGAGCCACCGCGATGAGAAGCCCACACACCCACAGCTAGAGAGAAGGGCCTGCTCGCCACAACTAGAGAAAAGTCCATGCAGCAGCAAGCACCCAGCAGAGCCAAAATTAGATAAATAAATAATTTTCTTTTCTAAGTGCAGAAAGCAAGAGCAAATGTTCAAACCACATGTCACTGCCCAAGTAGCCCAAGGATCGGGGAGCAGACCGATGTGAACTCCTAGGAAGCAGCTGTGGCTCACTGCTCGCTTGGCCAGCATAGAGCTCAGAGCGTGTCCTGCTCGCCTCTCTCCCTACCCCAGTGCCTGATCCTGGACTCCTGCTAGCCACGGGGTGTCTCCTGTAGACTCACTAACGCACGACTTTCGAGTGGGTGGGAGTGGACAGGAGAGGGCCTTTAATAATTTGATGTCTTCTCTGGTAAGACGCATTAAGTGTCACCAAGCCAGTTAAGGGAGTAAGTGAGACTTTGGGGAGCTAGAAGCCGACTTGGCAACTGGGTGACCCTTTGAGCTTCCTTCTTGTCCTCTTTATAGGGTTGGGTTGTTGCAGTCAGTCTTCTTGTCTCTTTAGATCTGGAGTGGGAGGTAAAATGGAGGGAGAACCTCAAGCAGACTCACCCCAGGCGGTGAAAGTATGGGTCCCTGCTTTCTAGATAATGTAGACCCTTTTTTGGGGGGGAAGATGAAGCGGCCAGATTCTTTAGCCAGGAACAGTGGTTCTGTCTTTGAAATTTTTTCCTGGTTTCAGTTCCCCAGCTCAGTTGATCTGCACTGGGAAATAAATGTGAAGCTGTGAGAACCGAGGGTACGAAGATAACAAAAGTGTAGTAAAGACAAATAGTTTTAGCTACTCCCCACCCATCTCCTGCACACAGTGTCCATGATGATTTAGAGAAAAATAGCCACAGAAGGGAGAGAGAGAGAATTAAGGGAGATAGAGGGGTGAGAAAAGAAGGAAGAGGAGGAAGAACAGAGGAAAGGGGAGAAGAAAGAGAGATAGAAGGGTGGGGGGAGGGCGTCCCTGGAGGCTCAGTGATAAAGAATCTACCTGCTGATGCAGGAGACACAGGTTTGATCCCTGGTCTGGGAAGATCCCACATGCTGTGGGGCAACTAAGCCCATGTGCTACAACTACTGTGCTTCAGGGCCAGCGGGCTGCATCTACGGAGCCTGCCCGCCCTAGAGCTCATGCTCCACAACAGAAGCCACTGCAGGGAGGAGCCCACACACCACAGCTAGGATAGCCCCCCGCTGCAGCAACTAGAGAAAGCCCTCACACATCAAGGAAGACCTAGCAAAGACATAAATAACTAAGCAAAGGTTATCTAAAAAAGAAGAAGGGAGGGAGGTAGAAGAGGGTGAGGTGGTTGAAGAGAAACATATTGAAACTTTAAGGGCTAATTCTGAACCCCTACCAGGCTTCCCCAGACCTTGGATCTCCTGCTCTGCAGGAGGGGTCTCCAATGATCATCTCCCACGGCAGCTTTCACCTGACCCAATCCCGTCGGCAGAGAAAAGAAATTACTTATCCACAGACTCTCTTCTGATGTGCCTCAGAATTAACTCAGTCTCCTAGGCCAGGGCCTGGTGACCAAGTAAGAGGAGTTGTACTTGATAGCTGCCTGCTGGCTAAGATTCTTTGGCTACTGAACAAACCCCAGATTTGGTATCATTTGTTTTCCACCAAATATTTTGATCCAGCTATGGTTTTGTCTGACTCTTCTTGTTTCTGACTGATTGTTTTCCTAATACTCTGGCTCCTTCTTCTAAACCTGCCATGACCAACTCCAAATCAGAGAAACAGAGTCTATCCTTCCCCTATCCATAAGATGCTAATGTTAACTGTCTTACTGTCTTGGTTCTCAAAAATATAAACAGAATCCTCAACAAAATTGTGTTGGGTTGGCCAAAAAGTTCATTTGGAATTTTACATAACATCTTATGAACTTTTGGGACAATGCAATAATAAACCAAATTCAACAATACATTAAAAGACTAAACACAATGACCAAGTGAGCTTTATCCCTGGGCTACAAGGATGGTTCAACTTTGAAAATCAACAGATCTACTCTAAAGCATAAGTAATTCTACTTGATACTCTGTAATGACCTATATGGGAAAAGAATCTTTAAAAAACTTTAAAATATATATATATAATATATATATTATATATCCCTGGAGTGAATATATATATTACACTATCCCTGGTGGCTCAGATAGTAAAGAGCCTGCCTGCAATGCAGGAGACCTGGATTCGATCCCTGGGTCAGGAAGATCTTCTGGAGAAGGAAATGGCAACCCGCTCCAGTATTCTTGCCTGGAGAATTCCATGAACAGAAGAGCCTGGAGAGCGCTAGACCATGGGGCTGCAAAGAATCGGACACGACTGACAGACTAACACTTCACTTCATATGTACATATACATATAAACATATGTATATATATCTGATTCACTTTGCTATATACCTGAAACTAACATAACATTGTAAATAAACTATATTCCAATAAAATATTTTTAAAAAAGAAAATCAATGAATACATTAACAGAACAGAGAAAAAAATCACGCAATCGTCTCAATTGATACAGAAAAGGCATTTGACAAAATTCAACATCCTTTCACGATAAAAAAAAACACTCAACAAATGAGGAATGGGAGGAAATTACCTCAAAATAATACAGGCCATATATGAAATACCCACATCTAAAATCATACTCAATAGTGAAAAACTGGAACATTTCCCTCTAAGATGAGGAACAAGGCAAGGATGCTCACTCTCACAACTTTTATTTAACACTGCACCAGAAGTCCTCGCCACAGCAATTAGGCAAAAGAAAAGAAGTAAAAGTCACCTAATTTGAAAAGGAAGAAGTCAAATCATCTGTTTGCAAATGATATGTTCTTATACATAGAAAATCCTAAAGATTCTACAAAGAAAAACCTGTTAAAACTAATAAATGAATTCAGCAAAGTTGAAGGATACAAAATCAACACAAAAAAAATTGGTTGTGTTTTTGTATATGAACAATGAACAATCCTATAAAGGAAATTTTAAAAAATCAAATTTACAATAGCATCAAAACAATTAAATATTTTGGAATAAACTTAACCAAGGAAGTGAAAGACTTGTACACTGTAGACTATAAAACATTGCTGAAAGAAAGAAGATACAAATGAGTGGGAATGCATTCCATGTTCATTGATTGGAAGACTTTTAATATTTTTTAAATGTCGACACTATCCAAAGCGATCTATAATTTAATGGAATCCCTATCAAAATCCCAATGGCATCTTTTGTATAAGTAAAAACAAATGCAAAATTTATCTGGAACCGCAAATGACTCCAAACAGCCAAACAATCCTGAGAAAGAACAAATCCTAAGGCCCCAGCATTTCCTGATTTCAAAACATATTACAAATCAAAACAGTATGGTGTGTGCACGCGTGCAGAGTCACTTCAGTTGTGTTCAACTCTGTGCAACCCTATGAACTGTAGCCCGCCAGGCTCCTCTGTCCATGGGATTCTCCAGGCAAGTAAACTGGAGTGGGTTGCCATGCTCTCCTTCAGGGGATCTTCCCGACCTAAAGATTGAATCCGTGTCTCTTATATCTCCTGCACTGGCATGCGAGTCCTTTAGCACTAGTGCTAACTGGGAAACCCAAGCAGTAAGGTACTGACATTAAAATAAATGTATTCACCAGTGAACAGAATAGAGAACCCAGAAATAAACCCTCATGTGTAAGGTCAAATGATCTGCAACAAGGGCCCTGAATCTACACAGCAGAGAAAGGATAGTCATGGTATTGGAAATACTGGATATCTATCTGCAAAAGAGTGAAGTTGGATCCTTACCTTAAACATAGACAAAAATAAACTCAAAATGGATTAAGAACCTAAACATAAGACTTGAAATTTTAAAATTACTAAAAGAAAACATAGAGAAAAATTTCATGATATTGGATTGGGCAATTATTTCTTGAATATGACAGCAACACATAGGCAGCAAAACCAAAAATATACAAATGGAAGTACATTAAACTTAAAAACTTTTGCACAGCAAAGGAAACAATCAACAGAGTAAAAAGGCAACCTACAGATGGGAGAAAATATTTGCAAACCATATATTTTGACAACAATAATATATAAAAAGGTACTGTAACACAACAACAAAAAGATAAACAATCTGATTTTTTAAATGAGCAAAGAACTTGAATGGGTATTTCTCAAAGAAGATAAACAAATTGCCAAAAGCATATGAAAAATTACTCAAGGTCACTGATTGGCATATCAATAATCACAGAAATGCAGGTCACAATGAGATATCACCTAATACCTACCCACTTAAAAAAAAAATTAGAGAAAGAAAGAAAGAAAAGAACAAGCAAGGGTGTGGAGAAATTGGAACCTCTGTACATGGGGTTGGTGGAAATGTTAAATGGTGTAACTACTATGGAAAACAGTAAGGAGTTTCCTCAAAAAATTAAAAATATAATTACCATATGATCCAGCAATCCCACCTCTTGTTATATATCCAACAGGATCACAAAGAGATATTTGCATACCCATGTTCATTGCAGCATTAAACACAATGGCCACAAAGTAGAAGCAACCTAAATGTCCAGAAACAAATAAAAGGATAAAAAAAATATATGTATATATACACACACACAATGGCATGCTAGTCTTAAAAAAGAAGGAAATCTTGTCATATACAACATGGATGAACTCTGAGGACACCATGCTAAGTGAAATAAGCTAGTCACAAAAAAAGACAATACTGCATGATTCCATTTATGTGAGATACCTCATTTAGTCAAACTTGAAACAGAAAATAGAATGTGGTCACCAGGAGCTGGGCGAAGAGGGAAATGAATACTTGTTCAATAGGTAGAGTTTTAGTTTTGCAAGATGAAATAGTTCCAGAGATCTATTGTACTAAAATATGCACATAGTTAATTACTACAGTATTATACACTAAAACATGGCTAAGATAGTGATTTGACCTTGTGTTCTTCACCACAATTTTAAAAAATGGGAAGCAACCCAAGTGTCCAATAGCGAATGAATGGATAAACAAATTGTGATTTATGCATACAAGGGATTCAACCATAAAAAGGAACAGAGTATAGGCTACAGCCTGGATGAAACTTGAAAACGTTATGATAAGTGAAAGAAGCTGGATTTAAAAAGTTACATATTGTATGATTCTATTTATAGAACATATGCTAAAAATAAAAAAAAAAGAACATATGCTGAATAGGTTAATTCATAGAGACAGAAAGCAAATGAGTGGTTGCTAGGGGATAGGAGTAAGGGGAGAATGGAAAATAACTGCTTAGTGGATAAATGGGTTTTTTTGAGGATGTAGAAAATATTTTAGAACTAATTATAGGTTGTGGCTGCACAATACTGTGAATATACTAAATGTCATTTAATTATTTGCTATAAAACAATGAATTTCATGTTATGTGAATTTCACCTCAAAAAATTAAAGCATTAAATATTATGTTTAACATTAAATGTACATATATTTTGGGCTTCCCAGGTGGCGCTAGTGGTAAAGAACCCACTTGCCAATGCAGGAGATGTAAGAGACGCAGCTTTGATCCCCTGGAGGAGGAAATGGCAACCCGCTCCAGTATTCTCACCTGAAGGATCCCGTGGACAGAGGAGCCTGGTGGGGTACAGTCCATAGGGTCGCACAGAGACAGACATGACTGAAGCACCTTAGCACACACATACACACATTTTATGTTGTTGTTCAGTCCCTAAGTAGTGTTCAACTGTTTGTGACCCCATGGTAACACTCCAGGGTCCTCTGTCCTCCACTATCTCCCAGAACTTGCTCAAATTCATGCTCATTGAGTCAGTGACAATATCTAAACATCTCATCCCCTTCTGCCCCCTTCTCCTCTGTCTTCAGTCTTTCGCAACATCAGGGTCTTGCAACTCTTGGCATAAAGAGGACAAATTATTGGAGTTTCAGCTTCAGCAATAGTCCTTCCAATGATTATTCAGGGTTAGTTTCCTTTAGGATTGACTGGCTTGATCTCCTTTTAGTCCAAGGAACTCTCAAGAGTCTTCTCCAGCAACACAACTCAAAAGCATCAATGGGCTTCCGTGGCGGCTCAGACGGTAAAGAATCTGCCTGCAATACAGGAGACTCGGGTTCAATCCCCGGGTTGAGAAGATCCCCTGGAGAAGGCAATGGCAACCCACTCCAGTATTCTTGCCTAGAGAATCCCATGGACAGAGGAGCCTGGAGGGCTACAGCCCGCGGGTAGCAAAGTTGGACAGGACTGACGGACTACTTTTACTTTCAACCTTCTTTATGGTCCAGCTCTCACATCTGTACATGACTACTGGAAAAGCCAGAGCTTTGACTATACAGACCTTTGTCGGCAAGGTGATACCTCTGCTTTTTAATATACTGTCTAGGTTTGTCATGGCTTTTCTTCCAAGAAGCAAGAGTTTGAATTTCATGGCTGCAGTCACTGTCCACAGTGATTTTGAAACCCAAGAAAATAAAATCTGTCACTGTTTCCACTTTTTCCCCTTCTATTTGCCATGAAGTGATGGGACTGGATGCCATGATCTTAGTTTTATATGTGTGTGTGTGTATATATATATAAATTTGTGTATGTATGTGTGTGTATGTCCTCACATATATATACATTCATATGCAGAATTCTTGGATCAGCAACCTCTTACTATCTAACTAGATTAAATAAGATACCTGGGATCACCCAGTATAAATCTCTCAATTTTAAATCTCATCACCTTGCATGCAAACTTTTACCTCATTTCATACTAAGAGAATGAGGTGTTCTCATTTGAAGATAACTCCTCAAATCTCTCCATTCTTTCTTCCAAGCCCTCACTCTTCCAACTTTTCCTTTTCTCTTAAATATTCAATCCCTTCCTTTCTATTCTTTTCTCCTCTTTAGCTTATAAATAGTCCCAAGTCTCCCCCACCATAAAAAAATATTTTACTAAACTCCTACCGCTCCCTATAATTTGCCACCTTTCCATTCTCTGCCAAGTTTCTCAAAGAGCAGTCAGCATTCACTTTCTGCCACAATTTGCCTCCCCAAGATCAACAACGACTCTATAATGTCAAATCTAATGAATATTGAGGTCTTTAAAAATGACTCCTTTGATTTCTTTCCATGTTTCCTTTGTTGATACTATCTCCATCTACTCTTTTTCTTTTTTTTAAAGTGAAAGCAGATTTATCTAGAAAGATACACACTCCATAGAGTGTGGGCTGTCACAGAAGGCGAAAGAGGCGGCCTATCTTCATCTTCTCTTAAAATATTCTTGTTCCCAAGGGCCCATTTCCTGCCTACTCATGCTGCACACTCATGTGTAATTTCAATCACTCTTGTGGTTTTAACAACCACCTATATATACGAAGATGATGAGTTTCTCATCTACACCTTTGACTGAGACTTCTCTCAAAGCTTCAGACACATGCACTCAATATCTTACTCACCATTTCCACTTGGACATCCCACGGAAACCTCAAGCTCAGCATGTCTAAAATACCACATCAACTCTCACAGTGCTGTCTCCTTCTAGAGCACCAACAGCCACCCAATTGACTAAGCCAAAAATCTGAAATTCGCCTTTGAACCTTTAAAATTCCTCATTCCACTCTCTCCTTTAAATGTACTAGAAATGAACCCAGTTCTGCTAATTACACCTCATGTTTCTCAGAACTGTAGGTTAGATGATGAGATTTTGTCACTCCCTGCTTAAAATTCTCTACAGGCTTGTTAGTGCACTTGGCATAAAATGGAAACTCCAAGACCCCACATAATCTTGGCCCCTCTGTCTTTGGGCTGTTGCCACACTGCATCTCTGTGTTCGTCAAACACTCGAGTTCATTCACATCTCCAGGTTGTATCATTGAAGGTTTCCTCTTCCTGGAAATGTGTCCTGCCATCTCTCTTCGTGACTCACTCTTTTCTTACATCTACTCAACACAAAAGCCATCTCTGAGGCTCTAATCCTGCTCCACCACCATCACCAACCCCCCACCCTGCCCCATCCACAATAAGCAGACCCTTGCAGACACACCATCACTTTTATTATCTTCACGGCACTCATCACTATCTGAATCATCTGGTTTGTGTATTCCCTTATTGTCTCCTTTACTACAGACTAGCACTTATCATTTTGGAAATATTATGTTTAACTTGTTTTGGGCCCACCTCCCTTACTAAAATTTAAATTTTATGAGAGCTGAGACCTGTGTGTGTGTGTGTGTGTGTGTGTGTGTGTGTGTGTATTACTATATAGCCAACTGCAGTCTCCCTTCTGACAGGTCATGAATTCCTCTCTCACCCTCCAAGCCCAATACTGCTGATAAACCAGCAAGCTTTATGCCTGGTCCTGACTGAAAAATAACAAAGAGAGAAAAAGACAAAAAACTCTCTCCATTCAGCTTCTGAGAAAAGTCTGAAGCACCTAGTTTCCGAGTGGTGCTAAAAGCATCTGGCCCTCCCCAGGGTGGCATCTTGTTCACATAAATGCTCCGTGATTCAACATTTCCTGGGCAACTTCTCTGTGCCTCATGCCATATTAAGTGTTGTGTGGGTTACCCTGGTGAATTGAGCACTATCTCTGCCTCCAGGAGCTCGTATTTTATCAAGGAAGACACACAAACGACTGTAACAGATTATCTGAGACAATTCCGATTGTTGAATGACGTGTCCTGGTTTGCGATTCAGAATATCTTGATCTTGTAACCCCAAACTGAACATGATAAATACGTGTCAACAGTATTTGCTCTTTTGGGAGCATAAAAGAAGCAACTAACTCTGCCAGTACAATCGGGGGAAGCTACACAACAGATCAGTTAGTTGAATCTTGATGTAACTAGGGGATTTTTCTAACTGGAGAAGATGGAGAACAGCATTCAAAGCATAGTGAAAAATTTGAGCAAATGTTCAGAAGTGAATGTGATCAAGTACTAGAGAAGAGAGAGGGAGGAAAAGAAAAAAAAAAACCCCACTAAAGTGAACACTGCAGAATGATGAGAGCTTGGTGGTTGAGAGCATTGAATGTCATGGTGAAGAATGTTCATTCCCCACCCCCACCACCAATTCACTGGTTCCCCTCACCTGAGCTATACTGGCTATGTCAGAATTACCTAAGAAACTTGTTTAAAATCTATATTCTTGGGAGTCAGACCAAGACTGTTTCTGAGAAACTCGGAGGATGAGATCAGGCTGGGAACCTTGATGTGGAGACTTAAGGAAGCCCTTCTTGTCTTGCTCCACGGGCCGTTACCAAGATCTGAAACTGGCTGGTTCAGCTTTGGAGAGTTCCCCAGCAGGACAGGAAGCAGACTGGTTACCCCACATCCAATGAGAGTGGACTCTGTCTAGCCCTTCTGCTCTGCCCATCACCCTGCATGCCTGGGAACTTGATGTCCATTGGGCCTCTGGCCCAGGTCCAGGGGCTCGCTTTGTCTCAATGTCCTCATCTGCAATCCAGTTTTCCTCTAGACTTGTGGCTTCCGTAAGAGCCCCGAGTTACTTGGTTGGGGTAACTGACCCCTGTTTGCACTTCCTGCCTTGTAGGGCTGGACATTAGTGAAGGTCTGACTCCAAAGCAGAGAATCTCAGACACTTGTCCTCACCAGACTCATCAAATGAAGGTTTCAACAGGAGGATGACATAACTGGGTCTATATTTTAGGAAGATGGATTACAAAAAATAGGGGGAAACATT